GAATAACTCACACAAGTACAATAATACAAAAATCACAAAGAACTAAACATGCTGGGTCAGGAGACCCAGGAACCTGACAATAAAATATAAAATGGATACAAAAGCTATACACAATATATATCTTGATGCGTAAATATGCAAATGGAAAATGTTTTTCATCACAGTGGTGCACATTAAATAAGCCAGAACAACTAAGACACACAAAAGACCTTGAAGCCTGGATGTGAATAAACCTGAGTCACCACTGCACAGTGTCTGTAAGGGATTATTCGAATAAGACTGTTTTATTGTCAGCTACATGTAATGAGAGTAATAAGTAGTTACTGCCTTCGTGTGTTGCCAGGCTCTGATTGTGGACCAGCTGAGCATGAGGATGTTGTCATCCTGCTGCAAGATGACAGACATCATGACAGAGGGCATCACCAGTAAGAGCCCATCACATTTAACTATTTCTTTGAACTGCGAGGCTTATTTTGTTCGTACCTGCGACTCTTTAACATGTCTGTGCCTGTTTCTGTAGTTGTGGAGGACATCATGAAACGACGAGAGCCACTGCCGAGCCTGGAGGCCATTTACCTGATTACACCCACAGAGAAGGTAGGGATACTCCTTCTTTTACCTATAGAGGCACATCCCTGTCAACAGGTATGCACTTTTAGAAGAGAGATCAGACAAGCTGCCATATTAAGCTGTTGACTTAGTCAAGAAAGATCGCTCATGCTTCTTAGTTTCCATGATCTATCTTTACATCCAAATTTCCTTTATTTGTTGAAAGTTGTACAGAGTTTATAATATACCTCAAGTTGAATGTTGCAGACCACGAAAGAGAGAGGCTGCAGAGCTTGGTCATCAGGGAGGGACTCAGAGTAACGGTTATCCCTCAACTGAAAGGTGTCAGTTAAGGTAGTTCTGGTATCTGATTAGGATGCTCCTGAATACCAAGCATTAGTGCCCAGAGCAGCTCTGGGACATTCTGAGTCTTACCTGGCTGATGTTCCCTTGGAAGAACTAGAGGTGGTGGCTGGGTGGAGGGAGATATAATAATAATGGATTGGATTTATATAGCGCTTTACAATACCACTATTCATTCACTCTCACACACTGGTGGAGGCAAGCTACGGTTGTAGCCACAGCTGCCCTGGGGCAGACTGACAGAAGCGAGGCTGCCATATCGCGCCATCGACCCCTCTGGCCAACACCAGTAGGCGGTAGGGTAAAGTGTCTTGCCCAAGGACACAACGACCAGTACAGAGAGCCCGGGGATCGAACCGGCGACCTTCCGATTACAGATGCGCTTCCCAACCCCGTGAGCCACGGTCGCCCCACGATGTAAATGTAGGCATCTTGGCGCAGACTGCTGCCCCTGCAACCCGGACTGGGCTAATTGGAATCAGAATCAGCATACTTTAGCAGCGATAGATGGATGAATTTTTCTTGGAGAAAAAAAAATCATTAATTTCTCTTAGAAGTGAAGAAGCTTCTCAGATGAGAGCTGAAACGTCTTCAAGAAACATAAAAAAGTCCAGTCGCTTTTCTTTCCACGCTCCTTAGATTCATGAATTTCAATCTTATACTTTTACACTAAAATAACTTCACAAATTAACAAATGGTTTGGGAAAATGAAAGTGAATATTCAAAATGTAACATGTGGTAGGGTTCTCCAAGGCAGGAAGGCCAGGCCAGTGCGGACTCTGGGACGCTGGAGAATGTAAACCCAGCTCATGGTTTGAAAGGGAAAGACTGACACGCACTAACCTCTACTTGCAGCTTGACTAGCTACCAAAATATTGATCAGAGAAGCTCACATTACAAAATGCACATATTGTAAGGATTATCCTTGCTTCACCTTATCTTGAAGATTAAAATACAGAACTTTCATCGCAACACATTTAACCTGTTTCTCTCTCTTCAGTCTGTCCACACCGTCATTGCAGACTTCAAAGACCCTCATTCATCTAAATACAAGGCAGCCCATGTTTTCTTCACTGACTGTGAGTACACGCAAGGACTTTACAGACAACCTTCTATTTGATATAGTGTTGATGCTGCTAAACAAGACTGTTTTGGATGTTGAGGGGTTTTTTAATTGTTGTAATTTTTTTCTTTCATAGATACGAAAACGAATGCTCTCATTGATGTTGTTACAACGTCTAATCCCACAGTTTCCTCAAAGTTCTTATAGTCACCTATTGTCTTCTTGTTTTGAAACACATGTGAACCGGTTTTATTAGGTCAAGTAAGAGAGGATCTTTTTGTACTAATAATCAAATATTCCCCTAATTTACAGTTTTTTGTAGACAAATTAAGTAGAACTATACAAAAGTAGTTATTTTTCTTTAAATATGCTTTATTCCTGCACTATTACAGGGGGTTACAGCTTCATAATAAGAGACTGAGTGGCTACGATGTTGCAGTTTCCCTTTAACAGAGTCACCTTGGCCTTAGAGGTGTCTTTATAGTGGAAGAATCTAAAGCTGCATCATGTTAAATGAAGGACGAGCTTCCATTGAAGCACTCTGTCAAAGTAATATGAAGAAGTTTAGTCAAAGATGATCTTTTAGAGACATCATAGGTCGATTCAAACTCTGGTGTTTAAGTGTATTTGTCTGTGAATGTGACTGAAACTAAGCATCATGTGATATTTTCCAGCATGCCCCGATCCTCTCTTTAATGAGCTGGTGAAGAGCCGGGCTTCCAAAGTCGTCAAGACTCTGACGGAGATCAACATCGCCTTCTTGCCCTACGAGTCTCAGGTAAACATACTGTGCAGCCCTGCATGGTGATGGTGCATAATGAAATGCAGAAAAGCATGTTTAATCTCTACAAAAAGATTCTGCATACCAATACGTATAATCAGTATTAAAGTTGTGTCCACTTGTTAAATGATGATGACCCTGATTTCAACTTCAACTGTGTCCTGCATTGGAGGAGCCTCTTGTCTTGAATAGACACAATCGCATCAATAACTATTAAGACATCATTCTCTGCTTCTGAAGGATACAGACAGCTCATCAGGAGCTTTTCATAGCAAGTAATTCAAACGTTGCAGCAAGATATTGATGACTGACCTCGTGTTGCGATGTGATCATCTCAGACGTTCACTTGGCTGAAGCTTTGTCCATTTCTGGTTACTTCTTGGGGCAATATGACAGCATTTCTCTGTGCTTGTCCCTGAATGGTCTTTTAAGAACCCTCTTCCGACATCTTCTCTATGCTGATGTGTTTAAATGAACCTATCCATAGTTCTAACCATGAGGTAGCAGATTACGATATATCATGTAGCTTCACTAACCCTAAAAATGTTGATGGCATCATCATCAAAATATTATCTTAAGATACTTTAATGGATGCCTGGATGTTAAGCTTTATTGTAACACCCGGGAGAACAGTCAACTCATCAGTTTATTGGACGTGAAGCAGTTTGGATGGTTTCTTGTATCTTCTGTGCTTGTATGCCTTTGGGACTTAAAAGAGCATTTTTGACATGAAAATGGTTAATGAAGTCAGACTTAACATGCAGTCTGACCAGCCACACCTGAGCATGCAGTTCAGGTAACAAAGTCCATGTGATGGGCAAAAGAAAAGAAATCCCCAATCCTGCTGTCTAATTGCAGTTTAGCTTTTTAAAGCACATCTGCATTTTCAAACATTTAGAACTGTGCAGAACAAAAACTTCCACTCAAAGTCCATAAATATGCATTATTGTCCTTAACTATTGCCTAAAACGCCAGAGCCAGTGGTTTTGGTCCAACATAGCTAATGACTCTTTTTGTTTACCATTTATAGAGATGGTTCTGGGACTCTGCATCCATTAACACCTACGTGTAGGACTAGAAATCAGGCTTTTCAAAAGGGACTGAAATCTGCAGTGACTAAGGTTATAATATAAGAAATCATGCACATGCATGGCTTTATAAACGATCAATTTAGATCAAGATTTGTGCCATTAATGCCTTCTTGTGCTATTTCACAGCACACTTTCCTACACAATGACTGAAACCCAGCTGAGTTTTATTGTCTGTTAGTGACAACAGAGAGAGAGAAGGAGAGGGAGAAAGATCCAGAGATGGAAAGCTTGAGCAAGAGCAGCTGCAGAGATCGATTAAGACAGGTGGGAGGAGAGAAATGCTGCAAAGGATGTGGGCAGGAATAGTAACAGCGAGGTTATTGGTCGGAAGAGTCAAGGATGGCTAAAGAGAGGCAGAGCAAGAGGACAGAGAAATGCACTCAGGTGGAGACTCGGCACAAAGCTGCTGACTCACCAGACTCTCTGTTTACTGCCAGACTGTTCCAGAAAGACTCACATTTATCACACTGATTTCTCTCCCTCCCACCTGCTTCCCCACCCTTTGCCTCCATCTTGTCTTCTTCTCTGCCTCTCTCTGTTTTCTAGATTCTTTTTTTAAAGTCAGGTGCACGTTCTTATCTTTGCTTTTTCCCTCTCATTTGCATTTACTCCATCCTTTTCTCCAACCATTTTACCCCATTTTTCCCTCCAGCAACCACCCCTCTATTTACTGCATCTCTCTCTTTCTGTCTGTCCTTTGCTCTCACAATCTAAAGATGCTTCTTGGCCCACAATGCTTTGCTTCCCTCTTGTCTACTATGATTAATTCAGAGTCAGTGGTTTTCTGCTTCAGGCAAAAATGCTGCCTCATAGTCCCGCCCACAGACTTTCCCAATTGGGCGATTCACATCCACACAGTGGGCTGCAGCCAATGGTGGCCGTTCTGAGGCAGGGGCCCTTCTGCAGCGCAGGAGTGTGGTCATGTGACTGTGGACAGATGGGTTGGGAGAAGGGAGTGGTAGTGATGCAGGAGAGGAGAAAAGAGAGGAGGAAGAGGATAGAAACGAATAGAGACAGAGGGAGGAGGTGAAATGATGGAACAGTAAAAGACAAAAGAGAGGGTGTAGGATGATGTGGTGAAGATCGAGTCGAGAAGACATTAAAGTGCAGGGGGATGAAATGGTAGAGACTGAAAAAAGAGAGGGAGAAAACATGAAAGCGATAACTGAGATCAAACAGTCGATTTGTGTAACAGCTGAAACGCATTAACACACACGCAGATGTTAAAAGCCTTGGGTCCTTTCTCCCTCTCTGTCTTGGAAATGCAGTTCAGTTTAATGCTTCTCAAGGAAGTTGTTTCTGGAGAAGCTTAGCATGAAGAAACACAGCTGTGCTTTTCCTCGCTGCTCTCTCTCTCTTGCACACATCATCACTGTGAGGGAGAGACGCCCGAGAGGGAAGCAAAGACACACTTAGGAGTGAAGGGAAAAAAAATCTTCTTATGCACATTAGGAAAAAGTATATCAGACAAATTAGTTCAAGAAGCTAGAAACACTCATGTCAGCACAGTTAGCTGAAGAAAAAAAACGACATTTCCTTGTATTTGTGTGTGCAGGTGTATTCTCTGGACAATCCAGATGCCTTTCACAGTTTCTACAGCCCTCATAAGACCCAGCTGAAGAACCCAGTGATGGAGAGGCTGGCCGAGCAGCTGGCGACGCTCTGTGCCACCCTGAAAGAGTATCCTGCTGTCAGATACCGAGGGTGAGCAAACAGGGGGCGGTTGTAAAACGTAAAATGTCTTTACATCTGTCATGCTTTGTTTTCCTTTATTTATCTTCCCTCCCGCTTCCCACTTTCCCGTGTCTGACAGGGAGTACAAGGACAACGCCACCCTGGCCCAGCTGGTTCAGGACAAACTTGATGCATACAAGGCTGATGACCCCACCATGGGAGAGGTGAGCTCACGAGAAATCAAAATGTTGTCACTTTAAATATCCTGCTTATTATTGTTTTCACTTAGCACATCATATTCTCGTTGTTTTAACCTGTGTCAGGGCTGTCCATGAGATCAGGTTACAGCTTAACTTGATCTCCGTTTGCTGTAATCAGTAAAACCACTGCACTAAAATATCCTCTCCAGGCTTTACTCTTTTAAGAAGTGCATTCTGAAAATCTGAAAGATTTAAAGGTAGAACTAAAACCTTCATGTGTAGAGTTTTTGTTATTGAATAATACAATAATACAAGCTGTATCAAAAAGAATAATCTTTTTAAATTAATGGACAAAGAAGCTTTTAAAACACATGGCTGAATATAAAGGTTTACACAAAACTTGTGTGTAATGCAAAATAATCATGCATGCAGTTGCAGTTGCACGGCTGAATTCTACACGAGACCGGATGCATGATTATCTAATTGTTGTGTGTCTCCCTCTGTAGGGTCCGGATAAGGCTCGCTCACAGCTGATCATTCTGGATCGGGGATTTGACCCCGTCTCACCTGTCCTGCACGAGCTCACCTTTCAGGCTATGGGCTACGACCTGCTGCCCATTGAAAATGACGTCTACAAGTATGAGCAAACACTGCTGTTTAAATTTTACTTGAGCATCATTTGCTTTTATTGTCAATTTGGCCATTGCTGTTTGGTTGATTCTTCTCCAGATATGAGACCAGCGGCATCGGAGACTCGCGTGAGAAAGAGGTCCTTCTGCATGAAGACGATGACCTGTGGGTGAGCCTGAGACACAAACACATAGCTGAGGTGTCCCAGTGAGTACTTTTCATTCTGTTCTTTATTTTCCACTCAGGCTTTTGATATCAAATTAAATAATTCTCATATGTTACTGTCTTACTTACTTACTTGTCACTAGGGAAGTGACACGCCAGCTGAAAGACTTTTCTTCCAGCAAGAGGATGAACACCGGAGAGAAGGTAAAGCCGACTCTGTGGAGGGAGGTGATGCTATGAGTATGAATGTAAAGTTTTGTGAAAACATTAGGGGTGTCCTGTGGTTTACGTCATCGCCGCTTTATTGGACATTAATCGTGTAACTTAGTGTTGTTTTTGTTTCAACAGACCACGATGAGGGATCTCTCCCAGATGCTGAAGAAGATGCCTCAGTACCAGAAGGAGCTCAGCAAGGTTTGTGTGTTTTTTGAGTCTGTGCATGCCTTTCTTTGTGTGTGCGTGTGTATACGCTGACCTGTTTTGTCTTTTTCAGTACTCCACTCACCTGCAGCTGGCTGAGGATTGCATGAAACATTACCAGGGAACAGTGGACAAACTTTGCCGTGTGGAACAGGTGAGACGGAAGCAGAAAGAGGGGACGAGGAGAGAAAACCAGAGGGAATAGGAGGTGGAAGTAGCAGAGGCGAGGACAAAGAGCACAGTGCAGCGATCGGGGTTTTAAAGTAAGACGTAAACAAGAGGTTTTCTGTTGCAGGATCTGGCTATGGGCACAGATGCTGAGGGAGAGAAGATCAAAGATCCCATGAGGGCCATTGTGCCCATACTGCTGGATGCCAATGTCAGCACATATGACAAGATCCGAATCATCCTGCTTTACATTTTCCTTAAGAACGGTAAGCAACAGACTGAATATAAATCACATGAAAATAAGACAGAAATATTTATTTACTTTCTAGTAAACTGTTTATACAAGTTAGTGTTATTATTATTGTCTTAAACATTTTTTATACATCTGTATAAATTGCCGTTGCTTTAGCTGATGTTTGAATTTTGAATCTAAGGGAAGTAGAGTACGCTCATTCTTGTGTGTTATTTAATGTGAGTGAGTGGGCCATGAAAATGTGGCGTTATTAAATATTTTTAATTGTCATTTAACATTTAAAATACAAAAGAAAAATGAATGCAACAATGATGTGGGTTGTTTTATTGAAGCAACATGCAGGAAGTTGGTGATATCAAAACAAACAATCTTTGTTTTACAAATCTTGTTAATATTTTGTGTATATTTGTGTGCTTAGGCATTACGGAGGAGAACCTCAACAAGCTGATCCAGCATGCTCAGATCCCCCCCGAGGACAGTGAGATCATCACCAACATGGGTCACCTGGGCGTCCCCATCATCACAGATGTGAGTGTCTCCTTATTATCAGCTTACTCATCCTTTCCTAATTCCTTATAAACTAAACTTTGAATACTTTCCTTAAATTAATTTTTAAGTAATTGTATTGTAGTTTTTGCCTTTTAATATTAACGCCAATAGAATGTAATGGAAATTTGCTTATATTATGTAATCTGTCACAGCACAAGTCTTCCCATCAGAGAAGCTGTCTGTGTCGTTTCACTTTAAAGCACAAACTGTGTGATGTTTTTCATTTGGACAGTCTGACCCTTGGACAAAACAGCCTAAGAAGATGGAAGTCAAACTACTTCACACTTCATAGATGTTGGGTGAAATAAAGCAGGCTAACAAAGAATTGTGAAAATATTGTATTTAGGCTTTTCTTTATTTACATTAAATTGTTAATTTGGTTACTTATATAACTGGTGGGTGATTGTGTATCATTGTATCTTTATCTGTATCACTGACCCTTAACCAACACAGAAATCACAACGTGACACATTTTGGGGACATCTCAAATGCAATTTCTTATGTTGTCACGCTTTGAATCCAGGTTATTTCCACTGTACTGCAGCACTGTTTGATGGGGCTTCAGGCGGTACACTTTTCAATAGGTGTTTGACAACATCAGGGTTGCTCCTTATCTTCAAGCCTGTTTTTGATTTTCATGGAGGAGCTCTCAAGGTGTCATCAGTCGTTTGGGAGTGGGGGGCTACCTCCAGGAAGGGAAAACAAGTATCATGGGCTTTTATGCAGGAATGACGGGTAGGTGGAATGTGAGTTGGTGCTGTGTCAGCAGTAATGGGGCTTGCAGTGACCTGCTGTGTTGAGAGATCCAACCCTCAGCTGTGGTCATGAAGTATGGGTAATGATTGATAGAGTAAGATTGTGGATTGAGTAGGGCTGGGCGATATGACCCAAAATTCATATCTCGATATTTTTTAGCTGGATGGCGATATAAGATATATATCTCGATATTTTTTTAAAGCCATAAAGTAAGAACAAAAAGAGAGTTCTTAGTCAAAGCTGTGTCCCAGATGTCACACAGGCACTTTTATTAACATACAGCACAGATGTACATGAAAAATTACTCAAAAATAAATTATGAGCATTCATTAAATAATAATGCTCCATAAATAAAAGAAAACAAGGTTGTTTTTGTGCTAAACAAAGAGCTCACAATTGTGCAGTCAAAATGTAAACTAAAAGACGCTGAGCGTAATAACAAAGACAGACAGATTTCACAGCTGCTCTGTTCCCAAGTTTTACTGTGTGACTGATAGCCTGGAGTTTGAAATCTGCTTCATAACCACGTCTCTTACAGGTGCCATTTATGGACTCCTTATACACACACAATACGGTAATATTACGTTGAAGCACAGTACGTATCACTCCGCGAAGGCTCTCGGTAGCCGTAATGCCCGACAATCTCATCAAGCGGTGCAGCTCCGTAGCTTAGCAAAGTCGTACTCAAAACATTTTGACAGATTGCTGAGCGCCGTGTACCACATAAAATCGGTTCGCGGCCATCAAGCACAACCAGAATTCATACATAAGGCGCGCTATCAACTTTTGAGAGAATGAAAGGATTTTAGGGTTAGCGCTGTTAGCTCGTTACGCGGTTAGCTCGTTAGCATGTTTAGCTCGTTAGCACGTTGACGCCGTCCAGCCCCACGCATGGGGCGATGCGCAGTAACTCGTTAACGGAGATTTGCCGTGTCCGTCTTGTCGCTGCCTGCAGCGTGAAGCGATGGGGGAGGAGGGGGAGTTGTCTTCAGTGAAGGCGAGGCGGAGTAACGTTGCGTAGAGACAAAAGTGGACGAAAGAGAGGCAAACTTGCGGCTCCACAACTATAATTATAACGTAACATAATTATAGTGTTATAATTATATCCTTTATATATCGATATAAAGGATATTGTCACATCTTATATCTCGTATAAAAATATATCGATATGTTTTTAAAAACTCGATATATCGCCCAGCTCTAGGATTGAGTTTCCTCCACTGGGTGACTGAGATAAGCCCAGCTGAGAAGCTCAGACCTCAGGAGGGATTGTGGAGCAGAGGCTGTGCTCTGTGCCACATGTGTGTTCCAAGAAACTGGTTGAGGTGGTTTGGGCCTGGTTAGGATGCCTCCTGGGCGTCTCCCTGTGGAGGTTTGGTGGGCACGCTCAACTGACAGACCCAGAACACACTGGAAAAATATATATCTTGTTTGTCCTCTGAATGCCTTGAGATCCCCTAGGAGGAACTGGAAAGTGTGGCTCGGGAGAAGGTTGTCTGGAATAGCCTGGTTAGTCTGCTGCTGCTGCATGTGTTGGCTTATTGCTTAAAGGGGCTATAATGCTGTCACTACGTTATGTCAGATAAATGCTACCTAAAGTGTGAATGCTCATAATAAACGTAGCTAAAGTTTTAATGAGATCGACATATGTACAAGGAATCGCTCATAGCTGAGGCTTCAGACTGCTTTAAACACTCAGTTTCATACAGTTCTTCCACCTCTGGCTGTTCAGCAGATGAGAGCAGATATTCCTAATATGGTTAGCTCAAGCACAAAGTTTTGGTTGTGAGCACAGAAGCCTCACCAACCTGCTATTTAAGCTCTGTTTCTGTGGGGGTAGCCAATCAGATGAAAGCTGTCTTTAAATGTAGACATTTTAAGATAAGTGCAGATTATTCTGACCTGTGACTCATGCAAAGCTACTCTAATACAATCCAAGAATAAAGCTACTAGTTACCTATTCGTTACTCTGAATATATGAACGCATTTGGAGATCTGTTCACATCAGCTCTGAGAGAAAGTGAAAGATGACTAGCATGTTTACACAGATAAATAATCTGTAGCATCAGGACATTAAGCTTTCGTTATCTAACGTCTAGCAGATCAGTTTGTGCTGTTTTTAATGAGTGCTCAAGGAAAGCGTCTTTTATTTCCACTTCCTCATCTATTCTTTCTTTTCTCAGTCCACCCTCCGCAGAGGGAAAAAGGTCGACAGGAAGGAGCGTGTGAGCGAGCAGACCTATCAGCTGTCCCGCTGGACACCACTGATCAAGGACATCATGGAGGTGTGTTTCTAGGCATTTTATTTTATTATGTGTTAAGAAAACTAAAGAGCTTTATATAACCTGCTGTCTGGCAGATGCATTGAAGTGTCTTAGTATTTTAGTTTCAAAAACATCTCAACTATAGATGCAGTCATTACTAAATTATGTATTAAAAAGTAGCTGTTACATACTTTTCACTTCTCATACATCCACAACAGTCTCAGTCAAACACCTAGTTGTCATCTACTATATTCAGGGTTGCACATAAGTGGTCCGCAGGTGCGCGTTCGCTGTCAAAATAAAAGACGCGCACCAGATAAGAAGTTGCAATGCGCGTTTGCGTACATATAAACGGCACTGTTTTTGTCCACTCGAGTGGGATTTTCACGGCATATTCTGCCCCACATCTTTGTGCGTTCATCATTTGTTTGAACCCAGCTCACCTCCTGGAACCACTTTTCCGAGAGTACGCGCTTCTTTTGGGGTTCGGACTCCTTCTGACATTTCTGTGGAGGTGGAGGAACACCAAAGTAATTGCTTAAAGGAGCTTCTTCAACATCTTTAAGAGTTCTAAACAAATGTCTGTCCTCCTCAGAAAATCTTATGTACGCAACCGCGCATTGCAACTTCTTATCTGGTGCGCGGCTTTTATTTTGACACACCTGCGGACCACTTATGTGCAGCCCCTTTATTTGTGCAAAGCTAATTCTGCAGTGGAAGTTGCTAAGAGATGGGAATTTGCCTATTTCAAGTGTGTACATGTACGTGTGAGAGACAGAGACAATATTGCTAACAAGGATATGTTTTATTTTTGTTCTTTTTCGTTCTCTTGCAGGATGCTATTGACGATAAACTGGACACCAAGCACTATCCTTACATCTCTACCCGCTCCTCTGCCTCCTTCAGCACCACTGCAGTCAGGTACATACAAACACACAAATGTATTTTCAAACAACATAGCATCTCATTTCATGGTTGTAGCATTTTCAAATTATGAAGAGAGAAATGGAGGTGTTGTATCAGTAGTAATTTGGGATGGAAGATGAGTCTGATGGGACTGAAAAGAAACAAGAACAGGGATGTGCTGCTGCTGCTGCTTTACCTTAATATGGAGAAACAACCATTTCTTGCAGTTACTTCCTGATTATGTTATTTCACTGCCTTGGATTTGTAGAAAATGGTATAAATTCAGCAGTACCTCCTTATACTCTGGTCCAGTCTGTGTGGATGCTGCCTATCCTGCATGCTCTCTTGCCTCTTTTAGTGTCCCTCCCCCACAGCTGCACACACACCCAGCATCAAGTACCTTGTTGTGGGTACTATCAGATAACAGCTGTTACGTTCAGAAAGTATTTGCAGGTGAAATTTTACTTCATCTTGCTTATTTGGTTTTTGCTCTGAACATAAATTGCCTATGTGTGATGTGATGCAGGTACAAACCGAGCCACCTGTCTGCAGCTCATTCCCTTCCTTCGCTCTAAAACCTCAACTCTTGTTTTTCTTATTCTAGCTAGTAATATTATCCTCTCACGGTGTTCTTCTTAGTCTGGTTAGGTTCCTGCCTGCTGTGGAAAATCTCTAAAATTTCACTGTATTGCACGAGGTGGAGAGCGACTGGGACACTGGAGGGCAAAACGGTACTGTGGTCCTTTGCCCTTCAGCCATCCTTCGAATGTCTTCGAGTTTAAATTGGCCAAAATGACAAATAGTTGCTGTGCTATCTGATGCACTAATCAGCGTTTATTTACGGCCGCCAGAGGCGTGTAGATTATGGCACCAACATGTGAACACATTCCTAACACTCTCCTAACGCTGAATTACAGGCCACCAACTCCTGCTTATCCAAATCAACCCTAACTAATGCTAGTAATACTACCAGAACTTTTCTGGTCCTACATTGTAAAAGTCCAGCGCTTATCTTTTCTTTAACTATGAATAACTTCTTATTCTTCACCTCCCTCACAGCAGAATTATTTACCTATCCTGATTTGAAATACAAATACTTTCTGTAAACATTAAGCCCACAGGGGAGGAAGGACAGTATTAAATTCATTTTTGATGTAAATGAAAATAATATTTCCAGAAAGCTAATATCTAGGATTTACTTATGTATTGTGTGTTAAATCAAGCTGGGAGAAAGGAGCAAACATAGAGCTATCAGAAGAGGTCTGGATAAAGACATGAAGAGCACACCAAGTTTTTTTTGTCCAAAAGAATAAAATGGAGTAAAATACCTGAAAATGGGCAGTGTTGGCGAATGTGTGGTAATATATGTGCAGATCGTGTTCATATTTTCTGGGATTTTTTCTTACTAGTTGGATGTGGTAGCAGAGATAAAGACATATTTGTATTATTTATTAGCAGAATGTTCCACTTGACCTCAAAAAACAAGACAGATACTTGTTCATATGATTAAGTGCAAGTAAGAAAGCACGTGGTTAAATAAAGAATCTTCAACAACCCCTGAGAGGATAAAAATAGTTCATGAAATCTGTGAAATGGAACAGTTGACCTTTTTCTCTGACACTTGTGAGTGTAAGGTTTGAAAAGTACTGGGGAAAATGGATAAACTACCAGTCTGTGGATGAAACTTTGGATTCCCCTGCTTCCTGGAGAGCTATATCTATGGATTAGACTCATGAAGACCTTCTGAGTATTAAAAAAGAAAGGAGCAGGATTAAATGAACATGGTGGACAAAAATGAACTGCTCCCCCTTTGCGTAAGGATGGGATCCACTCAGTTATGCTTTCTGTTGTTATCTTTACTATGGGATTAATACTTAAAAGTGACTGACGGCCTTGTCCTTTTGCTGTGTGAATAATTTCTTGTCTTTTTTTCTCTTTTTGTACATTTTCACAAAAATAAAGTAACAAAAGAATGTATTAATACTGTACTTTCATTGTTGTGTTGTTGTTTTCCGGCAGTGCTCGGTACGGCCACTGGCACAAGAACAAGACACCCGGAGAGTACCGCACTGGGCCACGTGTCATGGTATTCATTATCGGCGGCGTGTCTTTCAGCGAAATGCGCTGCGCCTATGAGGTCACACAGGCCAATGGGAAGTGGGAAGCCATCATTGGTGAGTAGTGTTGCAGAGGGTAGTGTAGGCTGCTGGGGTGGGTAGTTAGAGACACATCCATCGCCTTGAAAACAAAGTGGGTGTGACTCTGAGTGGGCATGTTTTCATGAGAGGTGGGAAATGCTGCGTCCTAATTCAGATTAAAGAGAGGCTGAAGATTCAGTGTGTGGTCTTTGATGGGCACAGATGACTTGTGACCTGGGACGTGGCTAAAAAACATTAAAGATGGGCAGGCGGAGAAACAAAGTCTGGAGTATAGAGGGAAATCTGACTGGAATAGACTAATAAACGTAGTTTTCTGAAACATTAAATGCGGTTTCATATTTTGGGCTTCATTTCAGTATTTTTACTTTTTTCAGCCTGTGGAAACAAAATGGAAATTTAGAAATATAGGCTCAAGTTTTATAAACGCAGCAGACCTCATTTCATCACACACATACAGGGCGGCATACATCCCACGTCACACATTGCTGTCACAGAAATTTCCCATCGACAGGTTTACACTGCAGCAGCTTTTTTTGCAGGATGCAATTACAGATAGCAGGTAGATTATTGTGTGCAGCATTTTGTGTTAAAGTAGCCCCTTTGTGTCATGTTCCTGTGTACTGTTTATTTGATGTCCTGAAGCTTTGCCAGCCAGTCTGTGTTATATTGTTATGTTAACTGAAAGTGTCTTTTGTTGTGCTCTGCTTCTGCTGTTGTCTTTAAAAACAACTGTTGTCTTTAAATTGCAGCCACGCCATGTCTTTCTCTGTGTCTGTGTTCCCAGTTTATTTGTGTTTGTGCAACTTGGTGTGAGTGTGTGTGTGTGTGTGTGTGTGTGTGTGTGTGTGTGTGTGTGTGTGTGTGTGTGTGTGCTCTGTATGACAGGTTGCTTGTTTTTTGATCCTTTTGTTTTCTGGAGAGAGCGAGTGAAGGAAGGGCGGGGGCATGGCATGTGCTGTGAGACGAGTGGTGAAGCCACTTCTGTTCCTCCACAGGTGCCACCCACATGCTCACCCCCACCAAATTCTTAAAGGACCTGCAGCATCCCGACTTCCGAGAGTCCACTAGGGTGTCCTTTGAGGACCCTGAGCCCTCAGCCGAGTGAGGCAGAGACAGATTGGGAGGGAGGGAGAGAGAAATCACACAGAAAAAAGTAAAGGCAGCCGTGCAAAGAAGCCCTTTCTGAACCTTCACAGCACAAGGGCTTTCTTCCTTGTTCCTTCTTCTTTGAACACTCAGTACTGTTTTATGTAACTCCACCCTCCTCCTCCCCACTTCCTCAGGGATGGATGCCCCCGACATTTCCTCACTGCATGGACTGCTCCATCAGACTCCCTATGTATCAGTAACTCAACCGCGACTCCGTCATGTGTTTCAGACTGAAACCATAACTCCAAACAGGTGTATTCTCGCAAAGTCTCTCAGCTTATCCACAAATCCAGTGCAATAAACATTTAACATTTCAACTACTTAAATTAACTCTAAGATTTGTTGGAGCAGTCTTAGCTCACATCCTCACAACGCTGATGTGATGATGGCATGCGTATCACACTTCCTGTATCCTGAACTCTGTGCTGATCAGCGGCCATGCCTGAGGAGGTCGTGAACCCATCCCTGCTGCCTCCTCCCATCATCTCTGCAGGGTGGATTAAATCGCCCCGTGATGGGCACCCAAAGGCCCTTTGATCTTGTTTAAAACTCACTCCAGATTTAATCTGCCCCAACATCTTTATCAGTTCCTCTGATTTATTTTTATAATTTGCCCTTTACATACACCAAACAAACACCTTTTTTTGTTACTGGTTTCTTTCCGGATTGGTCCTTGAGTTGATGTTGGGTTTCAGAGACACACTTTATCATTTCTTTTCTGGGTTTTTTTTTTGTGTGTGTGTTTTTGTTTTTTAATCCTTGTGTATTTTTTTTCTTTGTTTTGACCGCCTGACTTTGTCCACTCAGCTCACCATCACATGCTCACATGGCTCATGACCTGTCTGCAGAGGATGCTGGACTTTAAGCGAATGTTGTCATGATGATGGAGATCTGCTGACAAGCAGGGCAGCTGGGTGACAGAGGAAACCAAGCGACCAAAAATAAGTTCATATGCATTCATATGAATATTTGCCTTCTGTAGTACCGTCACAACTCCTCTGTGCGGACAGTCTGAGAATGTAGCATTGTTCCACCTGATATGCTTTAGCAACCCACCTAAAAAAAGAGAGAGATCCCAAAAAAACATCTCCTAACATAGCGCACTATCCACATCTTCAAAATACTCATCTTCTGTCTTAGTATTCAGCACATCACCTTGTTTATGTGAGTACATATATATTAATAACTGATAATGCTTTCAAAGCAGCTCCTTTCAGACAACATCATACCTGGACACACACTGATGGATAAATTAGTGAGTTTAAAGTCTTTGCTTTTAAGTCTGCTCTTTTCAGCAATCAATAGAAATCCTGTTACCTACATGTGTGGAGAACCAAACAATGAATTAAAGATTAAAAAAAAAAAGGTTTAGCTGCATAAAATTAGCCAAAAGCTCAGGTGTATTTAATAAAGATTAAATACCATACCTAATTTCAGTTTGGTGAGTCTACCCTTCAGGGTGGTCTCCTCGAGCAGTGTTACAGTATTTCCTACTCCGCTGTTGCTATTGGTCGGAGATAGTTCCATTCTGTCTTTTATTTGGTGCATCGGGATATTTTCCAGTGTGTTAATACAGTAATGTGAAAAAAGAAAGTTCACCGGACTCTATGCACAGTGCAATGTTTGGCATACTGACACAACCACCTCATTCCAATTATCAAGCACAATGGTGGAGGAGTGATGATTTTGGCTTGTTTTGCAGCTGCAGGTCCACTCAGGTACTCAGTCAGTATCTTCAAACTCTTTCCAGTCAGTTTCAGTTGTTATTAAATCTAATCTGCAGTAACTGTGGCTCTTCTGTGATTGATCAAGAGATCCATTGTCATTGAACTAGATAACCTAGCCTTGGTTGACATAACCATCAGAAGGCAGAGGCAGCTGCCAACCTCGTCTCCTGCACACCATCCTTGTACACCATAAAGGGTGTTCCCAGTGGCATCGATTTTGTTACATTAGATAACGACTCCTCCCGTCTACCTTCCAAGCTCAGCCATCACTATTCAGTGCATCTGCCAGGCCCAGGAGTCACTGCCTATTCTCTAATTGCAACCTCTGGCCAAGCTAGTGTTATTAGCAGTGGACTTCCATCATTTGTATTTGGGGTTTGGGAACTTACGAGTGACCTGAAAGTAATTTATGTGAATTTTTCCAGCTGGACCACACCCCTTCCAGTCATACTCCTATAAATACCTTCCTGCACCACAAATCCATTTGTTCTAATTTGTATTTGGGGTTGTTGTCTGGGGTCCTGGACTTTACTTTAGCACTGTGACATGAATGTTGTAAAGAGTGGTCCAAAATGTTTCCACAGTGATATGAGAGACTGATGAAGTCATACAGAAAATTATTACTTCAAGTTATTGCTGCTAAATCATGAGCTGCTCCTAACAACACCACATAGAGTCTGGTAAACGTTTTCTCTTTCACATAACTGTATCTTAACCCTCCAGTTTCAATTTGTGTAATGAAATTGCAACTGGTCAGATGGGACTCAGATGGGATATGAAATGGGACCAGTGCTGAAAGCAATCAAAAGGTACACGAGGAGATGACCTTGAAGTGCACACTGACCAAACTTAAACCAGGTGTGGCTTCTGGTATTCATATGGGTGGAGTCGTGACCTTTTTCATTATACTTTTAAGTGAAACCAGGGCTGTTGAGAGAAGATGATGCTCGATTTGCTTTGAACAAAGGGTTAAAAAAGAAAACATTTTATGCTTTAACGAGCTTTTAATAAAAAGACTACATCCCTTAGTGATCACCAAAAAACATGGCTCCATAATGCTTTTCTATTAATATCTTTGACTGGTTATTTCATGATTATTAATTAGTAAAAAGCTAATATATAATGCAGTTTTTTATTAGACTAGAATGTTGAACATCCATCTCATGACTAATCTGCTAAAGCAATATCATTTACAAACCAAGCTTTTTTAAGGTTTTCTCAGTAAGCTCTCACAGCTCTCACCATAAGCGGTATGAAGCCTCCCTCCCCACATGCTGCTGCATTCAAAGCTTCCTGAGCAAAAATGGCCATTACTTCCTAAAACAAGTCTTTTTGTTTTACTGTGCTATTATATGCCAGTATTTTTTGGTGTTGGAGCGTAACATCACAGTGTTGTTTCTGGGGCTAAAAATGGCCCACCAAGCTGTGTGTTTTGGGAACAGCAGAGAAGCAGGCGAAGCCAATTCGACATTCTAGCCTGACCCCAACTTTAACCCACTCACCCCCTTGAACCCCCACTCACGATCTCTGATTCCTGCAACCACCGCATCACCTTAGCCCAATATGAAATGGACTTGCCTCTTTCTCTTCTGTTTATTTGGGGGATTTTGTTCAATTTTTTTGCCTTTAACTGCTTCCATTTCACGTGCCCCCCACGTCGGATCAGGTTAACGTGTTAGAGGTAAAGCAGCTAATTAAGCCAAACTGGAAGAAACATGCAGCTTTGCAACAGAAACAAACCAATATAGGTCAAAAACTGTTGGTGTCTGGAGTAAATCAAATCAAATGTTTACCCTCCTTATGTTCAGGAATTAAGACACAAGTAAATGTTTGCTTTGCTCCAGTCCTGCACCTTTCAAGTTTTACAATGTCTGAAATGTGTCTTCAGCTGTCCATCCTTGTGCCATTAGAATTACTGATTTTTACATTTCCATTCAAATCTAAGTTAGACAGCGGAGTCAGCTCACTGGTTTTGGATTTCATGACTTGACTTCTTGAAATACTTATAGCCTTTTCCGCTGTCTGCATGCCCTTTTAATAAAGGTTGCACATTTTCATGATTGTGCATATTGGGCATCACATGATGTCATGCACACATTGCTTGAGAGTTGTCTATCATAATGGATGTGATACAGTCATGGATTGATAGGGGAAAATGCATATTCCACCAACTGGATGGCAATGGTTTCTCGAGGTTGCTGGTGCTTGCTGGGTGAAATTGGTTGCAAAGACAATGCTGCAACAAAAACTTTGTTTGCTAGCAGGTTCCCACAGTCACCTTTAGTTTTTCAAGTTTGGCTGGAAATACTCATTAACTACTAGCCTAGCGGCAGATCATTTTGACAAAGTACAAGGAAGCCAGAAGAAGGTTCACATTTACACTTCAAAGTAAAAGCAGTTCTTGCATCACACTTGTCACAGTTTTGCTACAGCTAGAAGAGTAGTAGCTAGCTTCCATTCAAACTACAACTGTAGCAATAGGCTAGTAACTAGCTAGGGAATACACATTTTTCCGCTAGTAGGTGGTTACCCAGGGATTACTCACCCATGTTGTTGGCCTGTTTGATTGAGTCTTTAGCAATCATTTTCCCAATGTTTGCCATTAACCTCCGGCAAGCACTCGGAACCAGATGAGAAATACTCATTTTTTCGGTTGCCAGATAGCTGCAAACTGGTGGCTAGGCCTGTGTGACATTTCTCACTTACTCCTCCTACATTGTCACCTTGATTGTCACACATCCAAAATGGCAGACAAGTTAACGTTGTGTGGTTCGCGGTCACGTGTCTGCAAAACCTCAATACAGATTTGGTGTTGCAGGTTTTCAACTAGCCCACCTGCTGCTTTAAGCTAACTTAGTCATAGTAGTTGTGTGGCGCCATCTCTGACCTGTGTGCTCCCATTGTGTTCAGCTGCATGTGATTTATAACACAGCCTAATAACTCGGTATCTGACTGTATGTTTGTGGAGTGAGAGTGTATTAGAGTAGAGTAGTGCATTACATACTCCTGCACAAGGTCACAAAAATTCCAGAAACTAAAGGGGACCTATTGTGCTCATTCCCACTTTATTTTGGAACTATGCAAGAACAGTTTTATGTTACTAACAGTTTAAAAAAACAAATCTTTGTATCTTATACTGGTACAGTTCATCTCTTAAACATATTACAAATTAAATTTCTGATTCTTAAAACAAAATTCATACTTTGATGGACACACTGTGTTACTCCAGTACAATTTTGGGGATCTATCCGTAGGATCAGTGCCTGCCTAGATACACACAATGCAATTGTTGAGAAAGCTAATTTAGCCACATTAGCCTAGCATTAGCCTTTGGAGCAGTCATCAATACAAGACATCCAGTGTCAGTGATATAATATTACAGCTTCTATTTTATAGCTCTGGCTCCACAATGAAAATTCAGCTTCATACTGGCCTCAAATTCCACTGTTTTGTACTTTTAGAAAGCTAAACAAAATTAGCTTGTTTCTGTGACTGTATTCGGAAATACCATCCAATTAACATCTGCTACATCCCAGGATAGATTACAGGGATTACTTGTCCATATACTGAAGTATTTGAAAGTTTGTCCATGTCTAGTTCAATGTAATGTCAATTGTAACAGTGTGTATGTATGATATATATATATATATATATATATATATATAATAATATATAATATAATATAATAATATATATATATATATGACAGAAAATAAAGAGAAGCAAAATAGTTCCACTTTAATGTGCAAAACAATCTAAACCCAGAAAGGTTTTAGTCTATTCTTAAAATAGCCAGTATACAAAATTTGAAGTGGTTTAAATAGTTACTTAACCTTTAATTCATTTTCTGACTTATGTGATGTGAGCGTAATGCTTTATTTTCCCCTTTGCATTTAATGTCTGTGTCAGAAAAGAATACAAAGAATCTCCTCAAGACAAAAAAGGAACGGAAACCCCCAAAAGCACTTAAACCTCCACTTGAGTACAGTGAAAATACCCCCCTCCCCCCTAACACTTTTAAGACTCTTTTAATACATATTAATAATCCATTTTAACTTGCTGACTAACAAATTCCGATTCCATAACTTTACGATCTATCTTTACTTTCAACGTTATGTAAGGTTGTCCTCGTCTAAAAAGTAGGCATTCATAACATAAGCTGAAAACACATTTTTCATCAGTTTCCTTCCAATCGTGCAGATCTAACACGCTGTGTTTGTGTGTCTCTTTATGCGTGTGCGTGTCTCTAGGATCGACCCACATCTTCACTCCCACCAGCCTGCTGGAGCAGCTCAAGGCCATGAACAAACCAGACGAGGAAGTGACGAGCTAAAAATCCTCCAATCAGTCTCTCTCCTCTTAACCTCCCCCCCCCCCCCGCACATCATTCCCAACCAAATCCTACACATTAACTGTGTATGCATCTTGCTTGAGAAGAGAAAAAATTTAGACAATTAAAAAAACAAAAGAGATACGTTATATCAAAGAATAAAATTGTTGCAAGTATTCTCATATTTTACAATGGATGCAACTAAATAAACGTATTTAAAATTAATTAAATATCAGAAAAGAAGGCCATTTAAAATTGAAATGACCAAAATGTAATATTGTATGCTATGAAACCTGCTAGGATGTGTAAAAGGTAGATGATTTCTCTTGTTCATTTCTTTCGGTTATCTCCATGGTGTGACTTTTACCTTTAGCAGATAGAGGAGGGATGTGCAGCCTGAGGGGTTCATATTGTAAAAAATATATCAGTCACCATGCAATTTATAGATATATGCATAGATATATTTCATCAGAGAGGAGTCTGTCCTATCACCCTTCCCTTACCCATTTGAGATGTTCGTATTCAGTAGCATGCTTCGACTGTGTTTGTATCCAGTGTGGATGTTCCGAGAGCCGCATGTAAATGTTGTGGTTGAATATGGCGCTTAAAAAATACTTTTTGTTTTGAGCATCACAAAAAGGAAACTATTCTTCAAGGATTTTTAAGAGTTTAAGAGACAATTTCACTGGCCGCTTTATTAGGGATACCTTTCTCACTGCTTATTAACACAAATGTATTGCTAGTAGGTCATATGGCAGACGCTTGATGCATGTAGGCATGGTCAAGACGGCCTGCTGAAATTCTGGCAGCAAAAGGGGTCCAAACCTGTGTCAGCAAGGTGTGACTAATGAAGTGGCCGCTGAGTTTGTATGCTCAAGTAAACTTGGTCCCAGCTACTGAGCTTACAGGCTAGCAGAGAAGAAAGTAGAAAGTGTTCAGGGATGTATTGATTTTTGAGTTTTTGATACTCAAAACAAGATCTGTTGGTTTTAAGTATTCATTTTAAGAGCTCCACTTAGTCAGTCGGAAAAGAGGGAGCTCTGTTAGAAGCCAGAATCATCCCTCCTCCAGCTGCCGAGACTGTAAAGTATTTACTTGCCACAATCTTTTTCCTTTCCTCTGCAGAGACGTCACGTTTCAATGTCAAAAAGGCCATTGCTTGCTGATATTTAATAAATAATCCTCCAAAAAGGGCCAGTTGTATTTCAGTATTGTATCCTGTCAGATTAAGTCTTATCATTGGTTAGTAACGATGTTTAATTGGGCCATGCACTGAGTAGTGTTGTGTATATGCTATATGTTGCTGTTTTAGCGTCTCACTGTTGAATGGTGATTTTTTCTGACTGTGAAGTAGTGACTTTTCCTTTGACGAAAAAACAAAACAAAAAAAAAAAGCCAATGTGAAGCCGCCGTGTTTGTGGTGTTTTAGCTGTAGCTGTTTAGTGGTCCACTGGGAAAAAGAACTAAGATCTATATTTTCTTTGTCTGTTTTCCTCCTCTGGTGCAATGTAAAACCCTCCAATGGTGAATGGCTTTGCAAGTTTAAAAAACAAAACAAAGAAAAACCCTGGAAACCCCTCGCCACTTTTCTTTCCTCCTTCTATTGCCTCTTTCCTGGCCAAACAGTTGTATATTGCACTATGATGCGTTTTCTGTGATGCAAACGCTTGTGTTTATTTTTTCTTTTCTATTATAATTTGCTGTTGTATAGGGTTTACGCTGTCAAATCAGTTGATTTATATCAAAATTATTTATCAGAGAAGATAATATTGAAACATTAGTCTGTCCAAAAAACTGTTTAACTTATTGGGATTGTATGTTTGCGAGTGTTGAAGCACAAACAATACTTCCATGTGTACCTAATATGTACTAAGGTTGTCTAATAAATTGGCTTCCATTATACTGAAAGACTGAACTTTTTTCTATTATTTCTAAAACAAACAACAACACACAGTCATTCTTTTTTTTTTTTCATTACGGAGTAGTGAAAATGACGTTGGATCGACATCGGCACAAATGAGCAATAAATAAAAACAACAAAGTACAAAAAGCATATCTAGAACATCGCATTTTAAAATATATCATCTATACAGACAAAAAAAAACTTTGATATCCAGCATCTGAGGCCCTTGGTACAGCAAATGATTATGGTTTGAAGAATGACCATCTAAAACTGAGCTCATTGCTCATGAGTGCATTTCATTTACAGCAGAAAGAGTTTCTACATCATCAGAAAATGAATTTCTACAGCGACTAAAATAAGACTGAGGTTAATTTCAGATTTCTGAAAACTAGTGTCACATGATCAAGAAATGGCTCAAAGTGCAGAACTAATTCATGAGAATATACAGGTCTCTGTAGTACGTCACAGGTTTGAAAATAAATATGATCTATAAGACATAATAGTGTAAACAGAGTTATTGTAATGTTTACCAGCAGATAAAAATACATGTTTTGGCCACCTGAGCAGGGCGGGGGGAGAGAACTATCTTTGAAAACATCAGCAAAGAAAACTTACAAAGAGGATTTGAGATATTCACTTTGGTCCGACTCAGTTCTTTTGGCTCGTGCCTCGTTCTGCAACTGCTTTTGAGTTAATGACTCTCAGTCTTAGTGCCTGTGATGACAGTTCACACTAGTAGCTGCAGGACTGAGTGAGCAGCTCCTGGTACTGCAGTCCAGATGCCAACGAGCCAGCCATGTGCCTGGAGGTGTGTTTCATGTGTCGAGCTGCTCTGATGGCTTTGTTCAGTGAGCTGTCCAATGAGCGCTCCCTGTCAACAGACAGTGAGCGTCTTTTCGTCCTCCTCCTCACCTCCCCAGGACCAGTGACCTCGGCAGACATCGGAGTTCTGTTAGGAGAGACGTAGAGGGGGGACGAGTACAACCTGAGGAGATGGTAAAAAGTAAGTAAGGATCAGGACAGAACAAGATGTTTCTATGTAACATTCTCTCAAAACTATATATGAAAAATGTTATGTATCAGAAACTGTTCAATAAACTGCACATAACTTGCACTATTTTGCCCCAAATCCTCATCCAGCAAACCTCTCAGCTAAGAGGGAAAACCTCCCTTCAGCGCAGCCATGTGCACTTAGGGAACGACCTGGCCAGTCAAGCCAGCGAAATCTTCCTTCTGTGTTTTTAGACTGAGGCGATAATGCTGTGTGGATTCTGGACACAGTTTGTCATCTTTAAATTTAAAATTAAATAGAAAATAAGGATATATAAATGAAATCTGTTATTTGCATGTTAATCTAAAAGTCTGGGAAACAAAAACAAAAAAAGAAGCAGAAAATGAAAATTTTAGGCTTTTAGGATTTTTGCATACTGTGTCAGATGAGTGTGTGAGCTATGAGAGCAGCGCACTTACAGGAGTGGTGGAGGGCACACTGGCATGCACTGCAGCAGTGCAGGTGGAGCTGCAGATGCAAAGAACCTGCTCCCCACTGCTCCATCAGGGGACTCGGCTGGCTGGTACTTTATGTGTGTGGAAGTGTCGGAGAGTCTGTGACTGTCTGCGAACCACAGAGCAGGCCAGGAGCTCCATTAACACTTAAAATAATTGCACTCATTTCATTTACTGCAGACTAAATGTATGAGTCAAGTGGAAATCGGGCATAAATTTCCACACAACTAAACTCTTGTCTTTGTGTGGTGAAATAATGGATTAGCCAGACAATGATAACAGTACATCCTTCTTCTGATAAGGATTTAAACCTCAGTGCTCTGTGCATCTGAAACGCATCTCATGGTCTCTAACCTGGCTTAATGACTTTGTATGATTCGAGGCGTCCGCAGAGAGGACATTGATGGCAGCAAGTGGAGGAATGGAGCATCTCTCTACCGCCACCAGCTGGTCCTGACAGTACAGAGACATCATAGAAGAGGCTTTATGGAGGCTGATCGACTCGTTCGAACCATAAAATTAATCCAGATAAAACTTTAACATTGGTTAAAAACATCTTTAAATTAAAGTGCACTGCAGACACTTGGATTCTGCCCTCTTTGCTAGCAAACATGTTTATCCAGGCATTCATTCTCACGTTCAGGGGATGCTCTGTGAAATGACAAACACTGAGAACAAACAGGAGCTTGACTTCTTCTGCTGTCAGGTTCATCTCCTTTTTCAGACACAGAAACAACAGGATGCTTCCCTGCAATACAGAGAGAGGTTTCCCTCAGCTCAAACCCTCAAGACTGCAGTGTAGATGACTGAGAACCTACATGGATTTATTTAACATGTCTGAACAGGTCCCACTGCAATTTCAAATTTCTGAAGCTGTATTTGACTGAATTTGTCTTTGTGTCTCCAGTGGTGTGGTAGGTGTTCTTACTGTGCTGTGTTCGCCTGCTGTAGACAGTAGTTGTGTGGGAAGAGCAGCTGTCTAGTGCTGCAGATGTTTGAGTGCATCTGGACACCTGAGGCTGTGGTGCACAGGGCTGCAGCTCCGATCTTGTCACTGAAAATAAAACACTGACTCAATAAGTGATAGGGCTTGCCATTAAAAATAGGAGTTAATGAGCATAACAGGCTTCAGAATCAAAAACAGGATGAGAACCTTAAAGGAGACGACACTGTTAGTCCCTGTGAGTGAACATGCTTCGGTTTGACCATACAAGCTTTCATAATGTCTAAATGAAATGAATAAACTGATATCACTCCGTCTCCCTCCTTGATTTTAATGATCATTTGTTAATCACGATGAACTCACAGTAATCATGTTGTGGCTTTTGTTGGTTTATAGAAGCAGATTTTCTCCTGGCTATTCGTCTCTGTGTGGACTCCTCCGCAACCTCGTCCACCATCTGTGTTTCTCTTTTCCCTGCACTGACATCACTCCGCTGCTCTCTAGACCTGAGAAGTGGAAGAAAACTAAATTAACAGCAAGCAACAAAAAGCAAGTCTGCTATAAATGCTTAAAACTTCATTTGTGACATAACTATGAAATTTCCAAATCAGGCCGTAGAATATAAGATCACATAGTTCATTATGCATCCACAATTATTATTATTAAATAAATAAATAAAACTTTATTTATACAGCACCTTTCTAGACAGAGTCAAAAGTGCAGCACATCAGATAAAAAGTCATAAATTCCAGATGTTGTTAGACATCTGGAATAATTTGAAAAATTTGGGAATATCACCCAAAGCAAGCAAACACAAATCAGGTTTTTAGTGCTCCTACTTGGCAACAAAGACAAGTGACTGTATAATCCATCACAGTAGACTGACTCTGTGGTTTTATGTGGAGCATTGAAAAGAAAAAAACAAAAACAACCTGAAGCAAGATGAAGAGGAGCTTTGATTAGAGCTGTTATCCTGAGTTGATGGAGCTGATCTAATAGAGCTGATAGGCTTCTTGTTTCTCAGACTATCTTCTAGTCTCTCCTTCAGTTTGGTTACCTCAGCCTGCAGTATCTGGACTGCATCACTAGAGGAAAACAGAAAAAGGATCTTTACAAAATAATCCACCTTTGCAGTTCATATGTAAGCTTGAACTAATGCACTATCATACCACACCAAGTTTTGTGGCCAAATATTGTGACGTGACCTCTAAAATGCTTTACTGTGGAAAATATGCAACTAAACCATTCAGCTGGTAAAAAATGGATGGCAAATATTGATGTAGGTGCACACGCATTCTGAAAAGAAACAAGAAACACCACACCGTGCAGGAAACAGAAGCTCCTAATATACAACCTGATTCAACAGCAGGCGATTCTGTAATAAAATACATAAAAGAAAAAATTATAATAAAAACATTACAACTAGTTTTTGGCGTGATCATGTTACTGCATTATTGTAGCAACAGTTATTGTCATTCATCAGAAATCATTAGGATTCACAGCGACACTGTAGAGTGACTATCTACTGCCTCACTCTCAGAGCTTTGTGTTTCTGGGACATTCTCCACTTGTACTGTTGACTTGTTTGCTTCAAGTCCCATCCAGACACTCACATGCAGTTCTGACTGGAACTCCTTGCTCGTGGAGAATTGCAAAGGTGGTGCTGAGTAGTGGTGGAAGAGCTTGAGTGTGAGCTGTCGAGGAAATTGATAGATTTGCTGTACTGGTCAGTCTTTTCACCTTCAGAGTCAATGTGAGCTGTAGAAATAAGGGGAGGTCAGCAGCTTAAATACTCAAAAAGAGAGAGAGAGCACTACTGATTACTAAGTAAATCAAATTGGAAACTCACTGCCGTCACTTTCAAGTCCAAACTCACTGCTGCCACTCGCCACCCTTTGTTGTCTCAGATTGACACAGCGCTTTGGAGAGCAGGAGGAGGTGCGTCTTCTCACTGCCCTTCTGCATCTCTGTGGTTGGTCGAGGCTGAGGCTAAGTCGGGAGCTCATAATCAGGTCTTTAGCTGTATGACTGTGCAACGGTGAGGAAAAATGAGATGGTGCAAAGACTCGGCCTGTCTGAAGACTCGTGCTTCCTTCCTGAGGCACTGGAACACCGCTGCACCATAATGGAATGTAACAAGGACAAAAACAAAAACACAGAAGACTTAATCAAAGAAAAAAAACAATCACTTTAAAACAATAGAAAATCACATCAGAATGTGTTGTGTGTGTTATGGGGTGGGGGATGGCACCTGAGCTGAAATTATTAGTGCAGTAAATCACTATGGAGGAAGGGAGGCAGAGTTGGACTCACCTCTCTAATGCCCTCTGGTGGAGAGGACTGGAAGTTGCAGGAGTTAGACGGCTGCTCTCTGAACCAACAAACCCGCTGTCTGTCTCTGGAGAGATGATACCATCCTACAAAACAGAAGTTATACAACATTAACACTGATCATCACACTAGGCAGCTGCAACAAATATGTCAAATCTTTAGTAAAATAAAGTGTTTTGTTAATCATTACAGAAATATTTTAGTATTATTGTAGGGTCTTTATCT